CCCTTCCAACCCTACAAACTATGAAATTATGAAACTATAAGAATTCATGCCATGGAATTAAATCTTCCCCCAACCTCTGGCAGTTGCCTACCTGTCCAATGATCTCTTCCTGCCCCAGGGTGGTCAAAGTTAATCTCTTCCACAGACTCCTCTCCTGGAGCACAGATATTCCCAGAAGCCCCTGCAGTGTCAGACTGTGTACTAGTACTGTTAATATAACTATCACATGCTCCTGCCTGACCCAGATTTTGTCCAGAAACCACAGGCTGGTAGAAGTTGTTAGTGAGTTGAGGTGGCTGTTGCTCAGCAAGGCAATATCATAGAAACATGGGATCTGTTTAAGCACCAGTTTGGAATTGTTCCAACTGCTTCAGGGCCATATTAGTGATCAGACCCTTGGTTCAAAGACCCAGCAGACTTAGCACTGTCTATACCTGGAGGAGGGGACATGTCAAGGCTGGGCTGGATCCCACTGTCTTCTAGTAAGCCTCACCACATAATGCCCTCCTGGAACTGTTGAAAAAACAGGCTGAGTTTAGAAATGCCCGGATGCTGCTCTTATTTTTGCTGGACACCAGTTTGGCTTCTGTCCAGCCCCATAGGCAGATGAGAGAGGAAAGTCAGGCTAGAGCTTCCATATCTCTCTGCTCCTGTGCAGAGGAAGACTTAGCACCTGAGAGGCAAATTGTCAGCTTGGGCACACATCAAGTGCTGGTGGCATACAATGCTTTTCATTGGAAGATGACAAACTGGAGGTGGCTGAGGTGAGAGGTACCCCTGCAGAATCATGCCAGTCCAGAAGAAACCCTACCCCCATAGCTTCTCTTTTACCACACACCCCTGAATAGGACATACACCTTGTTTTTGGAAGATGGAATGAAGAAAAAACATTTTTCTTGAAGATGCCAGCAAGTATTTTCACAGGGAAAACACAGGCAGCTGCAGTAAGGAGGCAGCAAAAAGCTGTGGCTACTTCTTTAATGCCCTAGCTGCATGGCATGGCAGGTACTGCTGGCTGCCCACGCAGCTCAAGCAGAGGGATCAGGCAATTGGTGTACATCAGGATTGGCCCTCAACTGTCTTGGCAGGCATGGCTGGCTGAGCCAAACTGCCCAGCCCCTCTTCTTGATCTGGGAGGCAGCCAGTAGCTTTTGCCAAGTCAGCTAAGGCCTAACCAACTTAAGAGGAGCCAGACATTTGTCTCCAGTAGAATCAAGCCTTCAGCTGAGTCAGCAATTGCAACTGGCTTCCCACCTAGAGACGAAGAACCTGGCAGCTCAGCCCCCACATGATTAGGCCCTCTGGTCCCCACATATCCTCATTTACGACATGCATCCTGACTTCTAGTAGATAATTTTTTTAAAAGGTGCATATTGTATGTGACTAAATATAGATATATGTTTTTCTAAACCAGGGCAGTGGCAAGCAATTGAGCTTTAGGCCATGCCCTTCCAGTGTAGACCTCTGAATCTGAGGAATCCTTGGAACAGGAGAGGCTGCTGAAGGGAGATCAGAATGGCCACTTAACCGAGAGAGCTGGAGGAGGTGAATTAATGTAGAAAAGCCCTCCACACTGGCTTAGCTTTGCCCCTACTGAATCTAATGCTAAAGCTCCCATTGGCTCCAGTAGGAGCAGAACTAAGACAGCACTGGGCACGTCTACATGTGCATTAATGTGCCGTAATTACCGTGCACTAATTCTAGTACTGGTAATAACAGGTACTAACTTAATGCACGGTAATTGGTGCTACTGTGCAGTAGCACCAGTACACGTCTTTTAAGTGATGCTAATGCACAATAGATTAATTATACTGTGCATTAGCTCAATAGCACAGCTTTTGCTGTGATATGCTAATGTGCAGTAGAATTAGTCTACTACACTTATAGCATCTTGTGTAGATGCATCCACTGTGAGGTTTTGAGAATCTCCACCACCGGCTTAAGCTAAACCAAAGACATATGTAGAGATGGACCCTAAGGGTGAAGTTCTTCTCTCTGTAGAGGGTCAGTGCAAGCCCTGCATACTACCTAAAGCCCTTAAGATAGTTGAAGTGGCATGGTTCATGAGACACAGATACTATCCCTGGCTGCAACCCTGGACAAATCACTTCATCTCTGTCTTTGTGATGATTCATCCTCACCCTGCATGTGAAAGGAGCATTCTTTACCACTGAGAAGGATGATCCCATACTTGCAGTAGAATGACATCCCCACAAGCCTACAGCCTGACTGATTATCCTGTCCTTGATGCCCGTTAGTACATGCTACCCAGGAAGCAGGAAGCTGATGAGTCACTTGAGGGCCTGCTCAATGCTGCCTATCCCTGAGCCAGATGATAGACTCCTGCTTTTTGCCCACCGCCTGATAGCAGGATTTGAAGCCCTGAACTACTAACAGTAACTTTGGACCTTTCTCTTGCCTGATCCCCAGCCTGACAGTCTTGCCCATTTAGACTGCATGCTCTTCTAGGTAGGAACTACCTCTTCCTACATGTCTGTAGTGTCTAAGGCCCCCTTCTCACATAGGGCTATTGCAGTAAGTTTTGAAATGACATGTTAGAAAGAGGAGAGAGAGACCCTCTTTCACTAATATCACCATGACTATTTTAGAAAGATAGTAATGCTGAGTGAGGATGATGTTTTGTTAGAAGGCAAAAGACTGTTTTGTCCAGTTCACTGAAAATAGAAATGCCCAACACTATCATCTGGGTACTACAAACGGGAGAAAAACCAAGGCATATATTTTTCTGGGCTGGATCAGGTATCTGATAAAGAACCCAGGCATAACTGAAATCCCAGAGAGATGGTGCTGAATGTTACGAAGAAAATTAAATAAAAGGAAGCAAACAGAATATGGGTAATAGAGAACTCACAAGTGCAGGTTTATTGATTCGTGGATTTTTAAAGTCATGTTTTAAAGAATGTTCTGATCCTCCAGAGTGACCTGCTGCATAATAGAGGCCATGAAACATCACCCAGGAACTTCTGCATTTTGCTCCTTACTTCTATTTGATCTACTGACAAAAGTTTATATAAAATAAGACTCAGATGATAGCTCTGGATACTAGTAGCCTTGAACTACAGAAAAAAATGTGGGTAGGTCTCTGAATTTCCAAGCTCCCTCTTATCTTTATATCGTGACCAACTCTAAATACTCAACAATGGTGAGTTTGTTTAAAGTATGATCTCTTGTACTGGCCTAATCAAATGTGAGGCTTTGGGCACTGTGCATTTCATTTGTTTCCTGCAACCATGAGGTCCAGAAACTTTGTGTTTTAAATTGAAGATGAAACCTTGTCATAATCACCTGGCTTCAAGAACTGGCATCTTAAGAAGCAAAGCAAATGAGATAGGCTATAAAATCATGAGTGCTGGCCATACTTTATGAGCTGAACAATTCTTTGTTCTGGGGAAGTTTGTAGCTAGAGCCCTAGATTTCCCAGCTGGCTTTATTTTCATAATGTAGCTGAACCCACACGCAGCTCTCAATACCATAGAGCTTCAACAAGAACAGGAACTTAGCTCTGAACATCTCTGCTTTGTCCCCTGTTGGCAGCCTCACCATGGCCCTTGCAATTTGGATGTTGTGGGCCTCTGAGGCTCATTTGGTTGGCTTCTTTTATCTTCCTCTTGTCATTGCTCCATCCTGCCGGAAACCAGAGAAAGAGAGAGAGAGAGAGTGAGTGTAGGAGAGAGAGAAAGAGTGTTAAATTGTGTAAAAGAATTTAAAAGAGGGAGTAAGAGATAAAGAAAAGTGTCCAAGACAGGCGAACAGCCCATGAACAGCCTGGCGGGAGTAGAAGCCCTAATTAAAAGACAGAAATACAGCAGCAAAGTCTTCCATTCAGAGGATGGACAATGAGAGGGTCTGCGGAGCAGAACTGGGAGGGGATGAAAGGACAAGGAGTGGCAGAGCCCCCACTGCTCCCCTCATCCTTCCAAAGCAATGCTCCAGCATGGGGCTCACAGAAACCCCCTCAGCCATCATACCCCCTGGTGTAGAAGGGTAGCATATTTGCCCATATTACCCTGGAGATTCCCATCCTTGTGTCTGTACAGAAGGCAACTGATTCAGCTATTTTCATTCTCTTGTGTCGATATTTTTTTCTATAGTTAAACTTCATTTGCCCCTTGAGAGGGCACCTAGGGTCAGGTGAATGAAAGCTGCCCAGGACTGGAGGGATGTGGGGGTAAGGCCTTGTCTGGATGTAAAAAAGACTAAGCCAGACAGCCAAGAGGTGGTGCTAAGATAATGGGGAGAGTTTATAACTCGAGGGGGAGGAAGGGAAATACCAGACTCTTTTGGGTCACCTCCCCAGTCCCCTTGGCTGGACAAATACTGTCCTGGCCTTTCCACTCCAGCGATGCTCCTGAATGTGTTAATTATCCCCAAAGCCCTTTCCTAGGAAGTGCTGCATGAGTCATATGACAGCCATGAGTGGCTTGGTCTTAAGGGAAGATTGAAAGCACGATATTCTTCAAATGTGGCTTTGGTTGGTGGGATGGGGTTACGTGGGGGTTGGGCACTGCCGTTACCCCCTCTCTGGAAGGAGGGTCTCTCCCAGGATTGCTAAGAGATGTTACCTTTGATCTTGGGCTGAAGGAGGTGGGGGTGGGGAGGAGTGTCTGCTGAGTCCTGTTCTTTCTGGGAGTGGATACTATAAAAGGCTACTAGAAAAGAACAAGAGCCCCCAGGCTTGTTGAAGGGCAGCCTACTACATCAGAATTAATTTGGGGCTCTTTCCAAAACAAAAGCTCTCTATGGCTTTCAACATGTTTACACAATAGTGCACAGAAAGAGCATCAGAAATGTCATCTTGAGGGTTCCTCTCCCTCCCCTCCCCTCCTCTCCCTCCACTTTTCTTTCTTTCCTCTCTTGTGCACTCAGCATGCCTCTCCGCTCTTCCACCTTTCCTTTTTTCATTTATTCTTTTTCTTCCTTGAAGAATTTCTCTCCTTCTCCTTCCCTACATTCTACTCTGTTTTTTGCAGGCCAAAGAAGCCCAGCTTGTGGGGTGTTCATAGTTACAGCTACTCCAATCCCAGTCTCACTCAGCAGGAGGGTTTGTAGAGAAGCGTATAATAGATGTGGGCTGTTCAGCTACTCTGGTCCAGTCTCTCCTAGCACAAGATGCAATACAGAGTATAATAGAGGTGGGGTGTTCATAACTACTAGGCCTGTGCAAAGCAGCTAGTATTGGCTTTGGATTCAGATTGGGCCAATTCAGGGGGCAGTGATTTGATTTGGTGGTTTGAATCGCTGTCCTGAATCTATTCGGCTGAATCTGATTTGGAGATTCAGCTGCTGCCGAATCAGCCAAATCTCTGAATCACACAGCCTCACACCCCACCCGTTGCCCCACCAAGGCCCGTGACCTCCTGGTCAACCTCCTCCTGGCTCTTGCCAAGCTTGTCATCTGGCTATCCAGGAAGGAGGCTCCCGGTGACCTCGGGGTGTTTTTCCTTGGTGTCCTTTGTGCGCGTCTCCAGGTGGAGTACCACTGGGCAGTAGCAGCCGG